TTCTTATCTTCATTTTTGATAAATTATGCAGTTTTCAAGATCACCATTTCAGCAATTGTTAGCGATACGGATGAAATCCGTTTGTCAATGTCCTACCACCTACTTGATGGTACCTTTGGCGGAAAATTTCAAGATTCAAAAATTGTTCGTTATGTTTCCAGGTTGCAATCGCACCATAATCACACAAAACGTCCCGTCTGGTAGATTCACAAGTCCAAACTTCCCTTATGAACAACTCGACATGCACAACCAAAGTGGAAGCAGCAGCTCTAAACGAATTCTGATTGTGTTCCGGTAAGTATTTGGAGATTTTTTGATATTTGTGACCAAATTGTTGATCTTTTTTCCAGAAGTTTCAATTCTGAGCGAGGGCGTATAAGTTTCTATCGTACTAATGGTTCACGTCTGGCTCTACAGTTGATGACGATGAGTGTTCATGAGTTCTTGCGATTTCGATTTTTTGAAGGTAACTTAAGTTTTTCCGTAGGATTAAGAAGCTTTAATTGGGATATGGGTCTTTATACGCCTACACCGTATCCTACCCAACAAGGTTGCTCCGTAAGCGTTTTGTAAATGTACAGCACGCAATGCTTTATTGTATCGACTTACCTGCAAATCTTATCGTGGTAGGCTGAACTTATCACTTCAAGCGACTTACTGTAGCATACGGTAGCGATGCGAAAAGGCCTCATTTGTCTTATATTCACAGTTACTACGTACTTTTAGATAAACGAACCCGGAAGGAACTCCACAGCGCCAAACTGCGGACGAGGCTTACCATCGACGTATTTCCCATGTGGTAACAGCGTTGAGTTAGGGCAACTAATTTAAAGTTTTTTCACAATGGACAGCAATGCTTTTCGTAGGTCTTCAAGCAAACAGACCACAATATGGCCACAGAAGGTATGATCTGAGCTATTTTACTGGGAAAATGCATGATGGTAAGTTTTTTCTCAGATAATTATTTACCTCAAAAATACATCCTGAATTTCAGATGGTGCCATCGATGCGCCCTTACGACTTGGAGGGAGACATCACCAATATGGGTTTTCCAAGAGGCTACAATACTTCCACAAAAACTTCGTATGTCTTTTTCTGGATCATCGTTTAGTTTTCGAAAGGTTCGTTCATGCACATCGATCACGCATGCCCGATGATCGAACCGGATGCGGCACTTTTTAACCAGTAAAATATTTTACCGTATACTACCGTAAGCCGCCTA